CGACACGCGCTTGGCGGCCCAAAGATCCTAGTATGACGTCACGACTGGTCGGAGGTTTTCCGCGTTTTCTCGCTTTTAGTTGTATCTTCAGGGAAAACGAATGTGATATTCAGATTCACGGGATAAAAATACGCCAGAGTTCACCTCTAACTCGTTTTTTTCAAGAAGTGTTTCAGCTTCCCTTTAAAGCACCTTCATGTCTTTGTCTGCAAGCGGCATCAAATTATCAAATACACCAACGCACGAGCCTGTGCCTCGTGCGACACGTGGAGCCAAATCGAGGCGCAGCACTAAAATGAGCGGCTATGGAGCGATCCCTGAAAGGAAACTCCGGTGCGACTCTCGCTCGTGGTCTCGTGGCACGTGTCCTTCACTTACACCAACAGTGGTTCTCGGTACTTCTAAGAAACACCAAGCGTAAATTTTATCCAAGGACCAAGGATCTATCCAAGGACCAAGGACTTGGCTTCTATCGGCCGATTCACATCCGGCCATTTTTACCCGACTAATGTTTGCTGGAAAAAAAATGCGTTGTGGCGTATTTGAACGTCAGAGCTCTGCCCATACTACATTTAAAGGGGTTATGACACGCCAAAAATAAAATATTACATAACTACTCAGCTAGGACCCATTGTATGTTCCTCTAATCCTGTTAAATTTGTTTTGAAAAAGGCGCGATAATTTCGTGGATAAATCGATTTATATGCGGGCCCCTCGGAGGGGCAGATCCAGGCGGACCTGGAGGCTGATGACGTAGCCAGCGTCCAGCGTGGTGTCTACTTGCACGCACTCACAGACTCGGCTCTTCTTGGCATATCAACTCTCAGCTTCCTCGTTTACCTTCCACGTTTCCAGCATCCGGTCTGTGACGATTACGTCTACGGCATCGATCGCCTTGTCGAAGTGTTCGACATCGATCGCAGCAGCGATGAGAGTGATTGCTATCAAGAGATGTTGGAAGCTGTTCATTTTGACTGCGACCCGCTGGCGACGAGCTCCAGCGACGACGAGTTCGCCGTGGTCACCGTCGTCCGGGAATATCTCGCAGGCGCATGCAGGGTGGAAGGTCAACCGGCCGGGGGGCGAGAGCGAGAATAGCTTTCAGTTTACCGAGCTGTTTGAGCGGTTTTGTTCGTACCGCGACGAAAAGAGCTTGGGCGATCATGGGGGCGCCTAGAATGAGAGAGTGTTCATGGTCACGTGGTTTATGGACACCATGGTGTGACTAACTTGAGCAGTGTTGCCTGGTCGCCAGATGAAAATTATAAAAATTCGTAAATTGAATATTGCAATTATCAGAGCTCTAAAAATTGCATAACTTGGTGTATATACTAAGTAGCCTATGAGCATTCCATTTCAAGAATAATGTATCCGTTTAATTTTCGTGTCATAACCCCTTTAATTATCTATTTGTGTAGAAATGCCATTTTGTGTTTTATATTTGATTCGTACGTGAACCAAGGCGGGCGCTGTTGATGATCCCGTGAACACGTGAATGTGGTCATCAAACTCAGCTCTTTGATTCTACTGCGTAGCTCAAAAAGCAAAAAGACGCAAGTTCGGTCGAGTTAACGCTATAGAAGGCTTGCACGCAACGGTTCTTGAATCATCACGGTGCGCATTCAACTTGGAAAAAAAACAAAGAAATGCGATAGTACAGGGTTTACACTGGAAAAGATACGTGCTCAGCAGCAAGGCCACTACAGTGGCAGCTGGTGTGACGTCAGTGCAGACCATTGAACCACTGCGCTCGAACATTCGGCTTCGCTTGCATTTATGGTGAAATAGAGCTTCGAGTACATAGGTGCTTTAGACTGGCGCCCGATTACAGCCGCCACCTGCTGACTTTCTTTTGTATCAGCGAGATACCGAGATACCGAAACGGGTGTTGACGAGCCTTTAAAAGATCAATGCTGGGAAGAAGGACACAGTAGATTAAAAAATTGCAATAACCTGACCTGCTATGGTAACGATGAAGTGAAGTAACAGAAATATGTGGAAAGAAAAACCTAAGTTATATCTTATGGCGGCGGCCATGCACAGTTGTCGATGGAGGCAGAAGTCCGTGTAATCAGCAAACACATAAAAATTGGGCCACTGAATAACCGAGATGTGTCATGCGGACGCTACAAGCCACCAGAGTCAATCTAAAATAGCTCGCGTTTCGGCCGCAGTCATGCACTCCTGAAAATTAAAGGAAGGCCCGCGGCAGTGGTAACAAGGCATTGCGCGTTTTCAAGCTATCACTACCTCTTACATGCGTCGTCTCAAAACCATTATCTAGACGGCAATGAAATCTCGCAGTCCTCCGGCAAAACCGTTGGGACGTCTCTGGACCTCAAAACACCAGGACCGTTGGGCAAAGCCTAGAAAGAAAAAAACCAAGAAAATTTTATTTAGTTATTAACGTTAAGGAGTGATTCTAAGTAGTATTTAGCGAAAGTAGAAAACTCGTTTCATGGCTCCTTTAAGCTGAGACTGCAGCCATAGCTACTAGTGCGACCCCGCCTGCTCTCCTAGCTTTGACGTGTGCGTTTCTGGCGCGAGCGCTCGTTTTCTGGAAGACCTTTTCAAAGTTACAATATTGTGCTCTCGTGGTTGTGACATTAACGGCATTCTCATCCTAAAGAGGTTCTTGAAAAAAAGAAAAAAAAAACACAACCTAGAGGTAGATTGTAGAGTATTTTTATCCCCTTAATCTGAATATCACGTTAGTTTTCCCCAAATATGTATCTAAACGAGAAAAAAAAAAACACACACACACAAAAAAACCTCCGACCGGTGATTACGTCATACTAGGATCTTTCGATATTTCTATAATAATTGTTTCTATTTGTTTTTATGACGATGGCTGTCTTGTTATTTATTATCACTATGACTTTTTTGAAGTGCTATTTCCCCTGTTTGAACTGCAGGGGGCAGAGGCCCTGTCAGGCATCGTGCCTTTATCTCTGCTTCCTCTGCGGATGATTGAAATCCGCAAAACAAATAAACAAATAAAAAGAAAGAAAAAGAGTGTCTCGCCCTCGTGGGCATCGCGTGCAGTTGCAAGCTTGCCAGGTATATTCCCTCGCACTGACACCAGTCGTGACATTGTTTTCTGACCTTTTTGAAGGTAGCAAGAGTGCGCGTGCATGTCTTTGATAGGCGCTGATGATGCGCGAGAGCGGAGATTCCAAAAACTCCTAATATGGCGTCACGTTCCGGGAAGGAGGGGCTTCAGCAGTACTTTGAACGTGATTTTCAGCAGCCTCTGTGCACCGAATTGGAAAATAATTTCGATATTCGTGATCCTGGAGGCCAAATGAAGACGATTTAAATTTTTTCCCTCAAATACAGACCTGCTTCAGTGCTTGTTGGAGCTCTAATATTGAGTTTCGCGTTTGATGCTTGTGTAACGGGCACCACGCAGAAGACCGATATGGTTGTTTGTGGGCAGTAGCAAGATAGAGAATTGTTTCATCATTTCATCATTGGTTAAACATGAATGCTAACAACGCTGCGAGAAGACTGATTCACGTAACTGAAATTCAATCGAGCGTGCCTGTGTAAATTATCGAGGATAAGGCCACCCCCGCTTTATGAAAATCTCTGAACCGTGAAGCCAAGAGCAACACGCCATACACCGGGTCAGTGTGTACGCTCCGCCTAATAAGTCCACTTTTCGCCACTTATTGTACCCGGGGCCACCTACTGTGACTACAACGGAGCAACGGCTTTCAGGTTTCGCATCGAAGAAAAACATGGGGCCGATTCGACGCCGGGAATTTCTCGAAGTCGAAACAGGACTGACCTCCTTGAACAACCACGTCACAAGGGGCCCCGCCCCGCCTAGGCCCCACTATAAAAGAAGACAGCGGACTTGGCACAGGCACAGTCAGTCCTTCAGCAACCGAGGAGCAACGATCGCATCATGAAGTCCACGGTGAGGTGCCCTTTTGTGCTTTCACCGGCTTTTCCCTGGTGGCAGGGACGGAGGCAGCAGCGTCGTGGCCAATATCCAGCCTCTCGGTAACGTCGTCGTTTCGTACCCGGAAAGTTCATTACCCGTCTCATTTAAATATATATGGCCTCGGTAATCATTACCGGATAGACGCATCGACAGACGCATATTCGTTTGGTAGCGTTGGGAACCACTTCAATATTCTTTTTATTTAATTATCATGGGAAGTCAGTTCATTGGGTTCTTTATGATTTGTCGTCTTAGCGATTCCTAGCTTATACTTGGATTTCATGATCATTCTTTTTTTTGAACTTATTGACTTTTACTAGACCTGTAAGCAATAACTTATCTGCATCTTTCAGCGCATCATTAGGTATCTTTGTGATTGCGGCTGCTCTTATTCAGTGATTGCTTGAGTTTTCTGCTCTTTAGACAGCAGACTTTAATTGTACCAAATACATTACGAAAAACTGTTCACTAATAAAGATATGGGGTCGCTTAGATCACAATCACGTGGGCAAGGATGTCGTACCGCCATCATATAAGTCTTGGTGCTGCATGGCGGTATCGCAATAGGATTAATTGATATAAGCCCCTCTTGTTCCCTTTCTCCGGGGACTATTTTCGTCATTTTTGTCCAGCTCGCTTATATTTTTGCATTTAATTGAATTATAATCATAATCTTAATATGCAAGCCTTTCACCCTTGTTGGTGTTAGACTGGTGGCGGCTGATAAAACCTGTTTGCTCTACTGACGTCTAACGCCTGGTTCGCTCAGTTGATAGAGCGCTCCACCGAAAATGAACAGGTCCCGGGTTCGATACCCGAACCAGGCGGATTTTTCGGTCGCGCACCAGTCACCTAGCTGTGTTTGGAGATTCGTGCTTGTCTTTTGCCCTCTTGTTCCCCTTCTCCAGGGATTATTTTCATAATTCTTGTCCAGCTCACTTGCGACTTTGCATTTACTATTGCATTATAAGCTATAGAAGCATTCCGGCTTAAAGAGCCTGATAGAGCACCCCAGCGTTTTACCAGACTCTATAAGAACTGGTTAATTATGTTGGTGCTTTACCAGGCACCATAGGTCTGCAGTGCAAATATATTTAGCCAATAAGAAAAAAAAAAAAAGATGAACCAACATGTGCGTTTCCTCAGGTCGCCGTTATCTTCTTCACCCTTCTGGCCACTGCTATGGCTGGATACCTTGGAGGCTACGGTGGCTACGGTGGCTACGGCGGATACGGCGGCTACGGAGGGTACGGTGGTTATGGAGGCTATGGTGGCTATGGCGGCCACGGTGGCTACGGAGGCTATGGCGGCTACGGCGGCTATGGCGGCTACGGCTACCCGGTTGGGCGCGCCTTCGCCTACCACACGCACATCAACCACGGTTACGGAGGATACGGAGGCTACGGCCTGGGCGGCTACGGCTACGGAGGACACGGATACTACGGTTGAGCCCAGGACTGGGGATTAAGATGAACTGAAATTGAATTGTGTAGGTGTTGTGATCGGTACTAAAAAAACGTTCTACAGAATAAATAAAAAATGTAAACCTTTTTTTTAACTATATACATTTGAGAATCGTGATTTCATGTCCTACCTTTCATTTCTACTCCATGTTAAGCCAAAAATGTACCTTGAAGTTTATGAACAGGAAGCAGATATACATGGGCGCAGACATAAGTAGTCTCCTAAAGACTTCCTCCAATTAAAAAACAAATGCCCCGAAAAAAGTAAGTTTCCAGTAGACATCTACCAAGCGATTTAAATCTGGTTTTCATCAACGTTGTTGTCCAGAATTTTCCCTGAAATTACGTTGAGCGTCCTGGGAATCACAAAATTTCCTGATTTTCCATTAAAAGCTTTCAACATTTCTATGCGCAGCGATGGACTACAGAAACAAACCACGACAAGAGGGCAGGCTTTGCGAATAAATTAAAGACTGACAATTGCTGCCGCGAAGCTGCTGCAAAGAAATTGATACTATAGCGACGTTTGTGCAGGGATCTGTACGCAAAATAGGGAAGAAATTTATTCCCAAGGTGATTGCGAGGATGAAAACAACGAGACATCATCTAGAGGGGCTGTTTGAAATTTTTGATATTTTTTTGCCCAAGAAGTTGGACGGTCCTGAGAAAGACAAACTTCGTAATTCGCTTAAGAAAAGCCTGGCGTAATCTGGATAGTTTCACCGAGAATTCTCAACGGAGCTTATACCTTGGACACAAACCAAACACTCAGGTTTTTATCCATCGCTTTCGTAGAAGTGGAGCGATCGTTCTCCGGCTTAAAGAATCTATTGACAGAGAAAACGCACAGCCTAAACTAGCAAACACGGTCCTGTTCCTGACCAGTTCCTTCAACCAAAAAAATCTAAAATCGAATGCCTGTTTTGGTGATAAAAGGAGTAGCTTATATACTTTAAAACTAAGCAAAACACTTTTAGCATATTCACAAAGGCGCACGTGGTCTCGGAAAGTGTACCGAATATTTTAGCGTTTTCTGTCCCCGTTCCAGTATTATTTTTCTCCCGGCATTTCCAGTTGTGATAAGAAATGAGCTTCATCCTTTATTTTGTTTTATTAGCGTGTTGTCTGCCTATATAATAAATACTCTGTGACAGGTCAACAACGAAGTGGAAGCTCCTACCACCTGTTTCCACTTTATCAGAGCGAACGCTCTGCTAAATTGGGAAAAGGTGAAAGGAGCTTCCACTTCGTTCTTGACCTGTCACCGTGAGAAGCGAGCGATTCGCCTCACATCACCTTAAGGTGGTGCTCTCTGTGTCGACTCTTCGTTTGCTTCTCTGCTTACCTAATGACACATTGAATACACGGTAAATAACCTCTGACATGTTTTGAGTACAACCACAGAACTTTGTTTCCGAGTCCCACTAGGGCGACAGACAAAAACAGCCGACACCGATAACCCTCCGAGACGTGCAGCATGTACGCGATAGAACCTTTGGCAGGCTTGCAGCCTCTCGATTCTCATGAAGTAAGCAAGAAGGGTTGCAAGCCTGCAAAATATACCATCGCGTGCATGCGGCACGTGTTCGAGGCTTGTCGGTGTCGGTTGTTTCTGTTTGTCGGTCTATTGGCGACGTGCGCGACCGAAAGCGTCGCTGTGGTCGGCCTTCCACGATTGGCCCAAAAGCTGAATGTGACGTCGGGAAGGGTATACCATCGACGGAAATCAGAGGAATGAAATAACTTTAATTTCAGCGGTGTTGGCAGTGTTGCTTTGAGAGCGCAATGATTTCAGGCTACCGCCATGCTATTTACAAACACCATCGAACTTGTTGTTCGCAAGCTAATGACATCACAAGGGGGACCATAGGAGGGCGCCACCAAAACATCTCGTCGCTAATTGGGACTCGGGCATTAGAGCTGCGTCTTTATAGAATATTTTAATTAATATGTATTCATGCGGACACAGCAACAAATTATTCGAAGCTAACGAGCAACGAGCAAAGGTATTTATGAGACAATATTGTAAAATTTTAATTAATTACTTGATATTTACCTAGTAATTTAAGGATATAAAAATTTGCGTAAATGAGTTACTAAAACTCTAACGTGCTACGTGCTATATATTATATATATATATATATATATATATATATATATAAAATAGGTTTCAGATGGTTTAGGTATGGCACCGAGCCAAACTGTTCTTTTTCTGTACGCATTTGGTGTAATATTTTGTTTTAATATTAGCCGCACTGTAGGATTCACATCTGTGCACTCAGGATTGCGCTATCAGGCGCACTGGAAATAGCACACGTAAAACGAAGTCCCGCATGTTGTATGTTCATCAACGCTCGTGACATTGCAAAACTTCGCGCACTTCTTTCTACTGCTTTAATTTCGAGCTACCCGAACTAACTGTATTTTCTAAATCCCCGGCCTTTACTTCTTAGAGTACGCTATTTAGTATCGCGAAACTCAGAATAGTTTTTGCGAAATCGGCAAATGAAAATGATGCGAAAACCAACATTCAAAGATACCCGCCCGCGATTTTCATTGCCGTGATATAGGTGGCGGCAGGCTCGCCAATCGAGCAGACAGTCTAAAAAAATGAACATAGCGAGCATTTGCTTCGTGCTGCTGCGGGGATGCTGGGGAAGCTCCCAAAGCATTCATTTAACAGCACGAATCTGCTTGTAAATATTTGAGAACAAATCCTACACTTATTCGTCAGTTCCTCCAAGCACCGACAGAGCATGTGGTAGTGGTACGAAGATGTAAGCTTCCTTCGCCGGTGTGTGGACAGCAACATCTCGGTATACAAGAAACGTCTCCATAAAGCTACCCGTCACCAGCAGATTTAGGTCGGCTCACCAAGAACGGAGGGCTCAAGGAGAAACTACTCATTGCACGGACCAAGATGGCGACCATACGGGGAGCTTGGAGCTACTTTTCCAGAATCCAGTAGCCTTAGTTCACGCCGCTTTGCGAAGACAGTATGCGGGGGCTCATTACAGAAATGTTAACCCACCTGACCGACCTGCACGCGCCGCTTCGCGGCGTCAGTCTCATGCGGCTCATTACAGAAAAAAAAGCTTATCTGAGCTGTCAATGAAACGATTTGTCAATTAAATAATCTTTCGATGAAACATCGCGTGTCGTTGAAACGTCGATAGATGAAACGTCGTCCGATGTACTGATTACCAGTGACTGAGCGATGATGCTGGCACTCGTTGGTTTGTAGCTGCGATGCTTGTGGTGCGGTGGATAAGAACGGCCAAATGAGAGGTTGTATGCTTGATGCTGGTGCCGGCTCAAGATGGGCAGGCTTATGCGGTCGATGGAGATGGTGTTCCGGCACCATCTCCATTGATCATTATGTTCCTCTGCGTGAAAAATTTGACTTTTTTGACGACTCTTATTTGATTTTATTATTTACAAAATCATACAAATTTTGTAATAACAACGGTTGGAATCTCAACGAAATGACGCTTTTCACTGGCCATATGTCGTCCTGGCCCGTAACAATGCTTCCCCCGTCGCCGGAAGTTACCTCGGTGTGCCCAATCTTTGATTGCATTTTTAATAAAAAAAGAAATCGGAAGCGAATCCTTATGATTTATTGATTTCTAGGATGTTTCAATCGCGCGGAGTGAATTATCGCTATTCTTAGGGGATCTCAGAAACCTGCTCAGGGCACCTTTAATTTCGTGATGTGTTCGTCGCTTTGCTGAGCTGCTGCTAGAGAGGTCATCTGTGACATGTCCACTGGATCACCCTGATCGGTAGCGGCTTCTATTTTCCGGCGACCATTTTCAATTCTTTTCGCAGCCTTTCTTACGCCCGGCATTCGAGCGGCCCAAAACACCTCATCGCAATTCGTCGCTGCCACATGAGTTCGCTGCTGCACCAGCACAATACAACACATCGCGCCAGCTGCAGCTTCGTCGGCGCTTCTACACTGCAGCCGGTGTAGAACTTTGCGTTTTAATTTCCGCTGCAGATGTGTGTAAAATCCATGCCGATGGGCACACTATATCGCCACCAGGCACGTAGTGGAAAGGAAACGCACAGCGAAACTTCGCCATTTTAATATATTTTGTGAGGTAAGCATGCTTACGCTTCTGACGCTGTATTTCACATGCTTTAAGGGATAGCTTCATTCAGTATAGTTTTATTATGAAGTATTTAAGCTTTGGGATGTTTTTGATATACAAATAAAAATTATGCGCAGCAGCGAAGCCTGCTCTGCTCGAAACATCGAATAAAGCCTAAGCTGCTGCTCACAATACTTTCTAAGTCTGATATTTTCTTGGCGAGAAGTTGCCTATTAACACTTTGGATTGCGTTTTTGTTACATAGATTGTATATGCGTGCAGGCTGATTTATTTTACCTCCTAACGTTAGCGCCATTATGCAGTGCGTGCTTTACCACTCCGGGAGATTCTTGCGTTGTACACACGTGCTTTTATTAAAAAATCAATTATATATATATAAAAAAAAAATTTCTACGATTATACTTGGAAGTCTACAGTTGAAGAAGCGTGAACTGGTTTGCCTATTCGCCAAGATATTTGATATCCGAATCATAAAAAAACGACCTTTTGTATGATTTTGGAAGTCAGCTTTACAAGTTGATTTTTAATGAAACTTTCTAATCACCCGCAAAAACATGTGTAAATTACAAAGTGCTATTGTTTCTATGCTCAAAAATAAACCACATGAGTATTAAATGGAGCATCGCTTTTGTTAAGTTACTGCACCATGATATTGATATCGAGTATACAGTTACAGTAGTAAATGTTTGTTTTATGTCACCCGCTTTTCATTAAAAAATATTTAAGGGTGAAATATTTTATAATCGAGACGTTGCAAAAACTCATAATGACTTTTTGCTAAGTAATGCACTAAGTTATTTCCCTCGTGTCGTGTAACCTTGTGGCGTAGCGTTGCAGAGAGGGTGTAAATTTTAGAGTTGTCCCCGAAAATATCGCCTTTTTATGACTTCCCGCAGTGTGAGGCCAGCATAAACTCATCTGCAGAAAAATTCTTAGACATATTTTTGAGAAATAATAATAATAATAATAATATTAAAAAAGAAGAAAGCCGTTTACAACTCCCTGTAACGCCGAATTCGAGCGCAGCTCTTGAGGAGGAGGAGGAAAGGGTACTGAGGGGAAGGTATATCCCTCCTTTCTCCTCCTCCCCTCACGGGGGTCACGTGATCTCGGGAAGGGGGGGGGGGTCACGTGACCTGTGGGGGTCAGGTGACCAGGAGGGGTTACGTGACTTGAGGGGGTCAGGTGACCTGGGGTGGCCACGTGACCTGGGGGGGGGGGTCACGTGACCTTACGGTTACGCCGACCTGGGGGGTCACGTGACCTGGGGGTGGTCACGTGACCTTACGGTTACGCCGACGGCGACGGCGACGGCGACGCCGCTCAAGCCGGAAACAAGCGCCTAAGAGCTGCGCTCTAAAAAAAAAAAAACGTACTCGAAGCTAAGCTTGCTTGCAGTCTTCAGTTGTGAGAGGCTGCTTTCGGAAGAAAACATCGCAAAGTGGTGGAATGAAAGACAACTTCGCAGTAGGGTTCTCTTTTCGTCTAAAACCATGTTCTTTGTCAGGTAAGAACCGAAAGATTGCCGGGAAGTTTTTCTTTTCTCAAAAAATCGCAGATCCATTTATCTTCGTGACGTTTTCCGCTTAAAGGGGCAAAAAATTCCTAGCACTTCGTAAGTGCCCAACAAGAGCAGCATGAGAGAGCGCGCGGAGACGACCGTGGTTCATACGTGCGACGTCACAACAAAGACTATCAGCTGCGACCAACATTTTTGATAGTCTGCCTTAAGCACATTGGAGGCTTGGGGTAATTAATTTCTGAACCAACACCGTCGAAGTTGACAATCGTTCTTATTTCGGCCGACAAAACAAAGTTCACTAAAAAAAAACAAAAAAAAAAAAACGCTCTTGCCGTTTTTTTAATTCCTCTCGGGATATGAGGAAAATCTAGCCCGATGTGGTTAGGTCAGAACCAGGCGAGTAGCGTTGTCCGCTTTCAGGCGGATTTCGGTTTCGGGCAGCTGTCCCCCCATTGGCGGGATAAAATCATTTTATTGTTTTTTTTTCCAATTAATGAATATCGGGCACGTTGGCTAGCAAAAGCGTCGGTGTGGTCTGCTTTCTAAGATTAGCCAGACTGGAATTAATTCTTTCTTTCAACAACGGAAATAAGAGTGATGTCAGGTTGTCCATAATGACGGTCATGTTTTCAGAACGCGATGACTCCAAGCTTCCATCGTACACAATCAAATTTGTCACTGTCGATTTGCACACGCACAATCGAATTTGTCGTTCACAACTGATAATCCAGGCCGAAACATCAAGGGCAGGATCTGTAAGAAGTATTCACTGGGCGCCATATTTGTGGGTGCTGTTTAGAGCGCATGCTCAGAACGAGCCCACATTAATAGGCTGCTAAGACCGGCAAACTTGAGGGTGCGGAATGCACGTTACAAAAGAACTGTGGAAGCTCGCCCATCAGCACGTGCTCAGCAGTCGCGCACACAGCTATGGCTGCCAGTGAATACTTCCTATAAAAGAGTGTCACTGAATGCGCGTGCACACTACGAACCCTGGCACGAGCCAGTCGCTTGAAAGCCTATCATGGCCTCTCGTGAGTTCATGAAACGCGAACCGTTTTTTTTTTCCAGAACCTCTAGAGCCATTATTTCGAAAATTGCACACGGTGGTGTTCCTCGTCGTTGCTCAGTTGAACACATCTAAGCAGGGGCGTCGAAACAGGCGGACGGATAGGGAGGCAATTCATCTCCCTCCCCCCTTCCAGTGGCGTTGAAAGAGAAGGCAAGGGTCATAAGGGGTAAGGGGGGGGGGGGGGGGGGAGGAGAGTGCGGGGCGATCGCCCCAGCCCAATACCATACCATAGCCTTTGATGTAATGGCCAGGTATTTCAGAAATGCATAAGAAAAAATTGGGCGAAAGGGATATCCCTTTCGCCCAAGCACTAAGTCGTAGCGAGCTTCATCGTTCCAATGAAGCTCGCTACGACTTCGTGCTTCACAATCTCGCTGGAATCGGAGCCCCGAGAATTTGGATGATTTACATCTCGTCCCGCGTGACGCCATCGTCCCGAGAGCCCAATCAGCAGCCTCTGCGAACTTCGGCCCTAACTTTGTATTGGACGAGTTTAGCGACCCAGGTGGGCAAGCATCATGAAATAATGTCCGCGGAGCTGTCGTACCACGGACATCGAGATTGTATTCATGTTGTATTCTCAATTGTTTTTTTTTTTTTTTTTGACGTTGGTGCCAGGCTTGTGAACTTGGTTTAAGGGTGCTTTGAAGAGATATCTGAGATAACTTAAAATGACAATAACTTACTCTGCGGGTTCTAAGCCCCCTAGGAATCCATAAATCATAACGATGCGCAGCCGATTTACCTAGGCGTTAAACAATCGATCAAAGATCAAACTCGCCGAGGTCATCTCCGTCGATGGGATAGGTATTGAGCCGACAGCCAGGACGAGATATGACCAAACAAAACGCGGCATTTCATTGAGATTGCAGACGCTGTTATTACAAAATGTGTATGGTTTTGTAGATGATAAAAGCAAATTAAAGTAGTCGTCGACAAATATAAATCTTTGGCGGAGAGGGTACATAATATTGCATTAAGCGTCTCCAAAGCAGCGCACTGTTTCTTTTTTTTTTTTTTCTCTTTTCCGCGGGAGTGATGTGTCCGGTTGTCGGCTCTCGTGCGCGCGCTTGCTGGGTCGAATCGTAGTCCGTGCTGTTTGGACAACGAGCCGCCTGCATTCGAGATATCACTCCGCGGTTCCACCGGTCTGCGGCGCGAAAATCCTGCGCTTGCAATTGGCTGACATTGGTCCTGGTTTCAAAACATGCTCCTCTCATCGCCAGAAATGACCTCGGTGCGTTGCGATATTTGAGTACTTGTTTATAGGAAAATTGGCCGCATATCGTCATGATTTAAAGGGGCTGTGCACCGACATTCGATAGGAATATTTCTTACTTTACACCAGCTTCTTGGCACTACTGGGACCCAAGAATACTCGAACGCAACACCACTGACCAAGAAGCGTCTTCGTCGCGGCGGAATTGAAAGGACGAATGCGGAGCTTTTCTTTCAGTCTCTCCTTGCAAAGCCGCCTTTTGCTCCGTCGAGAAAATTGATGACGGAGCTGTGGGGACAATGGCAACAATTCGCAACTCTCTCCAGGATATCCCGTGCGCCTGCTCGCTGACGCCGTTCAGAGCGCTAAAATTGATTTATTTGTCCACAAATGCGAAGCGGCTAGGGAGGGATCATATTACAGGTGACGGAGATTCTGATGCACGTTAGGTAAACGAGCATGCGGATATTTAAAGGTTGCAGACACCTCAAAGTGCGAAGCTTTGTGGTGAGCGAGCGCGTTTTAGGCACCGGGCACGATACTGTTTGTGGCAGAATAATTTTGAGGGTGATGAAGACATGTTTGCGCTTTGCCCGGCCATTAGTGCTGTAAAAAGAGAGCCGCGAACGGTGACCGCCAAGCTTCGGAAGAGCAGCAATTCTCAGTATTGCTGTCTTCGCGTCACAGCCTCTCAAATAGCTGCTCACCGTCTTGGTTTTAGTGTATTGCAACACGTAATCAAACAACAAGCGGGCTGCCGTCAGTCTGACGTGCAGCCCGTTGACGGCAGACTAACGGCCCCGACTTTTACAAGAGGCTTGATGACGGCGCAATATAAGATATTAAACAGCTAAAGTGCGCATCAAAGAGTACCGAAAAACGAAACCAAAAACACCGAGGTTTTGCAGCAGGGCCAAAAAAACCCCGATTACTTTTTTTTTCAGTCATTTACACTTACTTAAGCTATTTTAATAAGTTGCACAACTCTGCTGTCAAGCCACTCGTGAACGTTGGTAGCGCCGGTTGAACGTCAGTACGCTGTGCGTCCAACTGAAGTTTAGGGGTGTCGTACTCTATAAAAAAAAACTACCTATTAACATCATCGGCGTGTTTAGGGGTTTTATTCATTGCTCTACCAAAAAAAAAATATTTTAATATACCGTACATTTTTTGTACCGTGTTATTTGCAACATTGCGGTCCCTTTCCGTCACGTTGAGCACAGATTGAGCTGGCGGCCATGCGCAAGGCCAGAAAGCTGCAGCGTATGCGATACGCGAGAAGTCCCCAATAAAATTAGACCTCCCGGTCCTTTGTGCAAGGCTGTTACAAGGCGAAGCACAATAATGTTTTCTTTTTTTTAACGCGATCACTTTTTTTTGTTAAAACGGCTTCACGCATCAAGGCCGGCAGTCCCTGCCACCGTTTCCGCGCCGCCGTCGCCGCTGCCGTCCCTGCTCCTCGGGTTCTCCGTTCGTCTGCGGGAGGGCGAGCGGCGCGCTGGAGTTGCGAATACGATCCCCGGGAATGCGTCATCGAGCTTTGCGGTGACGATATGCAAATGCTGCTCACACTGTGGACGCGAAGACTGCGTACGCATCCGATCTAGGCTCGTGACAATCGATGCCTTGATATGCATTTTGGTAGTGGCTCGTGTCCAATCACTGCAACGACGACAATAGCCGAGCCATAACAATGCCTGGGACTCAGCGCGTGTCCTGTGCTTTGCCAACCCCAGCGCGTGGCTATGATCAACATTGGCGGCATATAATCGGCTCCAGATCACGTGGCCGCTTGTTCTGGCTGCGAGTTGAGGGGGTGAACGGTGCTCGTTTTTCTGTAATTTTTTTCTAGAGCTTCTATTGCGTGGGGTGAAAAACGAACGCGCGTTTCATAGGTCATTAACGTCAGGGATCAGTTTTAAGTGGTATTTGCGCAAAGTACAAAACTTGTTCCATCGCTCCTTTAAGGATTTCTTGGATGCTCAAAGTCAGCAGAGGGTGTTATCGCCATACTTTGGCGATCTCAGAAATCTCCTCAGGGCACCTTTATTAAGCCCCGGGTGTACACCCGTGAGCGATATGAAGGTGAACAGCCCTCTTCTTGTTTTTGACGCTCCTGCAAGTTTTGGAACAAGCTCTGTTCCAGAAGATGGCTAGAACGCAAGCCACGTGCCATTTGTGACGTTGAGAGTTTATATAGCATTCGGGAGCCGTAAAACAAACAAGAAACCAGGTTAGGTGTTCACCTTCATATTGCCGGCGGATGTACATCTCGAGTGTATCCGTATAAAATGCGGCTAATTTATAGCCTACTCTTTTAAAAAGCGTGCCAATTAAAGCGGGTCGCTTTTAATTTTGTATCCCTCTCAATCTGATTTTTTTTTTTTTTTTTATTCCAGAGAGGGTTCCATTTTGTGAGAGAAGGACGTGATGAGCCAAACTCAGCAAGAAGCAGTGCGGGAGGCCTACGAGCGCAAGTTTCAGCCGCACTCTTACGTAGAGCTGAGTAGAGGCGCCATTCTCTTTACTTTCCAGCAGACAGAACTGCACCGCATATTTTCTTCAGGTGGGCCTCGTGATCTATTAATGCCGCCGTCTCACTAGGCTGCTAGGTGTAAATACTATCCTTAGGAAACGCCCTCCTCTTCTTATGCCCTCAAAGGCTATCGCTCGCTCTTGATTGATTGATTCATTCATTCATTCACTCATCAATTCACGCATTCGTATGAGTACATTTTATAATAACTCACAATAATATGCAACCGTAGTTGCACCCCTAGCCAAAGGAAAGTTTGGGGTTTAATAACAAAACATATTTTTGATCACGACAGGAGACACGCGCAACAAAAAATTAAGATAGCATCGCACAATACCAACATAATAGGTAATTCTGCCTGTTACTATTCGGAAACGCAGTGTGACAAATTTTTGTTCTGAACATTTATCTCGCAAGTTAATAAAATAAAAATAACCCATTTAAAGATGTCGCATTTAAAGATATCCTACAGCGCGAGTCAAATGGATCAATGGCTGTTTCAAGGGACCGCAGAAATCAGTTTGTGAACGTATACTTGAGCTGGTTCATTCTATCTCAAACGTTTCATACGTCGCGCTCAACCATTTCAATTTAAAAAAATATACATGGCTTTTAACCCAAAAGTGCTGAACGTTTTCCTAAAAAAATTTCTCCCCAAATACTTTTATTTTATAGCTTACACATAACTTGAGTTTTTAAAATGTGCGTAAACCATAGGCATTGATCAATAATTGAGTAAAAATCTGATTTTCTTCGAAGCAGGGTATTGAACCAAACCCGAACCGTGAACCAAAAACCTGAACGAAAAAAGCTGAACCGGAACGAAATAATTATTTTCGCTCAGGAGCGGAACCGATATGTTTCCCCTATGCGGTTTCCGGTTCATACGCGAAGTCAGGTCGCGTGAAAAGTACGTGGCGAAAAACGCACTAGCCTAAAAAAATTAACCGGAAATGTAAAAAAAAAAAAAAAAAAAACGAACACACACACACGCACAGACACAAACAAAAACAAGAACTTATTTTGGCGGAGATCGGAGAAAGCCGCGCGCTTGTTGAGAGACTATGTGTCCAATATGTTAGGTCCCTGATCAGAAGCTGGGATTGAACAAACCAGTACTTGATTGTCCAACGCGGTGGATGTCCACGCTGCATATGCTCACCAGGCTACCTGAACCAAGAGGCTTCGCTGGTGGGTTGCTCTCAAAAGAAGAAAGCTCCAGGTCGACTGAACACGTATGGGCGGAAGTCAAAATGTTCGCAGTATCGCTTCGCCCGCAGAAGTGGCGACGAAGACATTGCAGAAGGAACAGTTCACTGTAGAAAATTTCTATGAAGCATGGCTGAGATATTCCATGGACAGTTCCAAGATATCGTCGCCGTTAGCAAAGGCATTGGCTCAGTCAATGAAAAAGAGGGAGCGACAACTTCTTGACACGGATGTTTTCTGTGCAGCAGTGTACATGAATCCCCGCTACCACCTTCTTCTCAGCCCTGTGGAAAAGTACCGGGCCACGTTGCATTTGACAAAGATTGGAAGGTGGATCACAGCTCTGCAATACGAGCAATATTCTACCGTCTTCTGAAACTGCGGCGGCTCCAGAAGATCCAGAAGGCGCCCTGGAAGCACTCCTCAAGAAAGAAGAAGTTGAGGCTGGCGTGCACGTTCGAGGAACCTGTAGCCCACTTGATATAGCATGCCTCCTGGAAGTGCTAGACAAGGAACTGCGACTTTCAAGAGACGCGTGTTGCAGTTTTGGGAGGAGAGACGGGAACGCTACCCAGAGCTTTGTACATTGGCGCAAGTAGCCCTGGCAGTGCCCGCGACCCAGGTCAGCGTGCACTGAAGTTCATTTTATCGTCTTAGAGGTGCCGTATTTCCCTGAATATGCTTGACAACTCCCTGTTTCTTCGGTTCAGCTGCCTGACATTAAACTGCGCTTTCACCCACTAGCTTGTTCGTTCCGCACAGTAATCTGAGCCTTTACTTTTTAGATGTAACACTTTTTAAAAATATGCATTGTTTGTCTTTTGCGATCGTCAATTGTTTTTGTAGCATATGAGTACGAACCGGTCCGAACTGGTTTGAACATTTATTTTTTCACTCCGGATTTGAATCGGAGCTGAACCGTTTTCTCTGAACCGGAATGAAAACCGGAACAAAAAACATTTCGGTTTTACACCCTGCTTCGAAGCGCTTCAGACTTAGTTTTATAAAATTGAACGGCTTTTAGCTTGCTATGTTGCGATGGTTATGCAATTTTAATTGTTAAAATATTTTCTTTAAAATGCCACAAAAATGCGCAAAAGTAAGCACTTTTCGAAATTTTTAGACTTAATTATCGCTTTGCGCCTGGCAATTAAACTTTTTTTTTTTCGTTTGAAGCCCTGTAAATGTATTTAAAGAAAATCGTGATCGATTTCACTCTGTGAAAGTGGATGGCAAACGAAGCTGTTTAGCCCACGACACAGACGTGACACAGAATTTTTAACAAAAGTACGAACGCATTTACTGTCTCAATCGGTAGTCACCGTGACGAAAGGTACCCACACACATTTATTGTTTTCTTAATCGGTGGTCATTATTTCGCGTGGACGACTATCGACGCCCCGTGGAGCCGGTGGAAACTTGACACGCGCGACGGGACCACTGCCCGGCGGAAAGTAGACACGCGCGACGGGACTGCCACCCCGGGAGATAGGAAGGAAAGGAAACTTGCACGCAAGCGGGGCTTGGAACGACGACAAAGAGGGGGCGGTTCGAGCGTAGACATGGCCGACGCGGATCGCACAGTGGCAAATCTTTGAGCAACTTTTATGATCTACTTGAACGCCTACTGATCTTGAAAATGGTAACTATTGATAACTAATCTACTGAATAGATCTACTGCTAAATTACGCAAGCATCAAGGAGAATGCAGGGAATGGTGTTCCACGCGCCACACGTGCCGGCATCTGCAGTAATAACTGTTCTAAAGCAAAAGCCTAAAACAAATATCTTGCACGCACGTTCGTCAACGCTTTATTTTGGTTATTTACTTCAAATCTTTTATATGGGAAAGCCGTGCGTGTGCGGCGGTGCGAGCGTAGAGTTTTTGTTGATGCACATGAAAATGTACGGAACCCTAGCCGTAAACAGCTTCGCTGTAAAATGTTTGAAGCTATACAACAATATATTTTAGACAAGAAAAAATTCTAAATTTGTGAAAAAAAGGTTTGTTTTGCAGCCTAAACAGTCATGTACCCTGAAGTGGTCAAAGATGCCGCTGGACATGGTGCTAAATTTGGTCATGATAATAGTCAACACCCAGAACCAGTATACAGAAAAGACAACTTAAACAGCAAGGGGAATGAGCTCATCGATCGATTACTGCCTGATGTACCCACCTGTAAGTAAGACTGACGTACATGAAAATAGACGGGCAGGGCATCAAGAACCTCAGAAGGGATCATAACCCTGCTACTGATTGCGTTTGGAGAAAAATCGGCAGACAAACGAGTCAGCGAACCGACAGGACAGCACAAATTAACGCAAAGGGAAACCCAAACCATGGCACAGTAGCTGGAAGCGGAGGCAGGAGGCAAGCAGCTTGAGATGTACGAGTGGCAGAACGACCACCTGGGAGAAGAAAAGGGGCAAACACGTTACAAAAAAAGAGAGAATAAGGTGATTGTGGGATGTAGAGGTGAGGGAGGCCATAACAATGAGGCAATTGGCATGCAGGACGCTTAGATGCACAATTATAAAAAAGAGAAAAACAAGGAAGCCTCTGAGGAAAGATTCCCAGGAGGGGAGGGCAAGCAGATAAAACAGAGGTGTCAATTTGAGCTAGATCAAGATGGCCAGGGAAGACAAGAGGTTCCTGGGGGAGCTGAGGAATGCAGGACGACAAGCTCCAGTAAAGTTCTGGCGACATATGCGGAGCCGGACGGGTAGACCCAGGAATGATTCGGTGATCAAGGAGCACACAACGGGAAGAGAGCTCGACCTAGGTGAGACCATCCAGTTCGTGGAGGGAGGGTTAGGGAGAAGTTTGCAGGGAGCTGCACGGAAACCGAGAACGAGACTGGGGGTGTGAGGGGGAGCTGGAAGAGCAGCCAAGCAAGGACAAAATCACAGAGAGCTGAAGAAAGCAATTAAAAGAGAGGGAGGTACCGCAGCAACAGGTATGAACGGTGTTCCAATGAGGCAAGTGAAGCAGCTGGGGCCGGAAACAAGAAGGATCCTACAGGAAACCCTGAGCTAATTAATGACGGAGAGAAGAGCGTCCGATAAGTGGATAATGTCACAACTCAAACTAAGCTAGAAAGGCAAACAGAGCAGGACGTCTCTTAGCAACTATCACCCACTAGCAATCAGACCAGTCTTATACCGGGCGCGGATGCAGGTGCTTCGGGATAGACTTCAGGCATGGGCGGAGCCAAAGGGGGCCCTGGGGGAGCTGCAAAACTGGTTCTGGTGGGGCAGGTGCCTGGATGTATCTTCATTTTGGCACGCGAAATCGAGATCGCTTAGAGGGAGGACTGGCCGATATACCTTTGCTTCCTAGATATCAGGAAAGCACACGACAGAGTGGACTACAAGAAAGCGTGGAAGCAAGTGGCGGCGCAAGGACTCGGCAAGGAGTGGATCGACCTGCTGAGGGAGGCGTACAGGGAGACTAAGGTGGTGGCACGTTGGCTGCAAGAAATGACAGCCCCAGTGGCCAACATCAGGGGTCGGAAAATGCTCTACTGCAGGAAGCTGCAGGAGTGCTCCCAAGGCTTTTCCCTGCGGTACATGGAAGAGCAAGGCAAGAGTGGCTGAAGGGTCTCGGGTCTGTTCTATGCGGACGACAACGTGCTGATGACGGGCTCCCTACATGACCTACAGGCCCTTGTGTTTGAGTGTGGGCAAAGGGGGGCAGCCCTGGAGTAGGGACTCGATCAGCACCCAAAATCGGCACTGATGAGCTTCGGGCGTTGTGTAGAATTCGAGACTGACGACCGGACCATCCAGAGTAGCCCAAAGACGTGGGCGGAGCAATACAAGTATCTGGGGTAGTGAATTCACACGGGACGCCACTACCTGTTACAGCAAGAGGCCAAGCTAAAGACAAAGAGCGAGAAGCCGCGGAATTGCTGCGGCCAAAAACCTCTAGGCCTACAAGCGGTACGAAGTGACTCGTGTAGTGTGGAAGATGGTCGCGGTGCCGGGGCTTGCGTTCAGAAATGGCGTTCTATGTCATTCGTCACGAATCCGGGAATGCCTCGAAGTGCGATAGAGAGAAGTGGGGCGGGTAGCTCTAGCAGCTAGCAGAGGAGCACCGAACGACGCCGGGGACAAGGGGGGGGGGGGGGGGCAGTTTCAATGCCAGGGCGGCCCGAGCGAAGCTGGGTTTCGAGCGGCGCCTCAGCAGGATCAAGGAAGAGCGCTGGGCGAGACAGTTGCAGAAATATGTACACCTGAAGAGCACCTCGACCCGATGCGTGCGTGGAAGACTCCGGCTGTCCCTGAGGTATGGCGTGAGCGACCCGCTGCTACACGGCCGAAGAACAATGAGGACAACGGGGAGACATTCCGGCCAGGGCGAACGAAAGGGAGACACAGTGGTGGGCCGACATGGCGGCATGGAAATCGTCAATGACCCTGTACGCTAGAGAGAAGCAGTAGGTTCTAGAGTGTGGACCTCCTGAATAACAGCAGGGGCAGTGCACTACTCTTCGTCGTTCGAAGCGGGATGTTGCGGACTCATGTGCATTGAGCATAATACTCATACATGGACGAGAGATGCACCAGGTGCACAGAAAAAGTCTCGGAGACAACGGATTATGTCATACTCGGTGGCGCGGTCCTGCAGTTGGAAGTGGCGTGCGGCGGGAGCATGGCTGTGGTGCTGGGTTTCTGGGACTGCGACAAGGACGAAGCCGAGCAGCGAGCCAATAAAGGAGGAACACCGATGCCACTAGTTAAGCAACAAAATTAAAGGGATACTGCAACGAAATTTCGGCGCTCATTTTTTGGTCTATATGTGTTCAAAAAAGCACCATCAAATTGAACATACCAATATCTCGTTAAAAAAGTCACGAAACGGAATTTTAAAACGAATTAAACGATTAGCGAAGAGCACCTGGTGGATGTCGCTAACGCCTCGCTTGTAATGCCCGTCTAGCAACCTTGGCAGCTAGTGACAGAGGTTGTCTCGCCTCCGGCCACGACGAGAGAAGAGGGGCAGGAGGAACTCCCCTCTTCCCGAGAATGCCTTTTGTGTGTCACAAAAGTCGCTATTGTCCCCCTACAAGATTATAGAAGATTAACCCGTCACTCAAAATTTTTACAAAAGCAGCCGCTTCGGTGGCTGGAAAGACTAGGCCATCCTCTCGACGTCAGCCTCGTCGTAGCTTTGCTCGTCTTGAGACGACCTACGTCACGATTGCGGTGGATGTCACGTGGTCTCCAATGGGCCTTCTCCGAGCGCTTGCCAAGGTGGGCCGTTTATAACGAAAACTACAGCCACCAGGCTCAAAATACAAACGTGCGATTGTCATTTACGGATATTGTGGATCATATTCAACCTATTTTTGAACACGACGGGAATATTTCAAATTTCGTTGAAGTATCCCTTTAAGACTGGAGTGCTGGTGGAATGCTAAGCAAGCGGAGAAACAAAAAACAAATAATAGCAGTTTCTAGATTCTTAGCCCTAGTTTAGATGACCCGATACAAATGGGTTAGTGCCCTAAATCTAAATCCAAACCTGTTTTCCGGTGGGTGTTTTTTTCCTCAGAACATGCAACCGAAAACAGTGCACGTGTCATCACCGAAGTTTCTGCTGCGAAATGTGGTACTGAGTGTTTTTCCCGCCGACCCCTACCTGTCGACTCCAAGAGCATTGCCGACATCTGTCAGCTGTTGCACCAAATATACGCCTTTCGATAGCAGGGAGATCCCATAGGAAGGTTTTTCAAATTCTTGATTTATAGCTTTTTACTCAGGTAAGTTTGTTCAGTTAGAACTTCATACTATTAATTCACTTTCTGCTGCCACCAGTGCGCAAACTCTTAGTTGCATACGTTCAGAAACCGATCTATGCGGTTTCTTCACGCAGCCATTAGTCCCTTTGACTCACCCTGTATATCGTTGCGCAGTTTGATTGACCACATCAGCTAATACTTCAACAATGTGTGCCTTCAACAGACCTAAAGCAGGGGAAGACACTTTTGGATGTTGGTTCTGGTCCCACTGTCAACTTTGTGCTCTCAGCCTCGAGCCGATACAAGGACATCGTGCTTAGCGATCTGGTGGAAGCCAACAGGATCGAGCTCGAGAAATGGCTGAGTGGAAGAGAAAGCGCGGTCAACTGTGAGTTCTACGCCAAGATAATCGCTGCCTTGGAAGGATGTAGGTACGTAATCGCACGCATCGACACACTGAATGGTTGAACCAAAACTATTGATCGCACATATATTGCTCATTGGCTCCGATGGCGGATTCCCAATGCACCGCAAAGCAAAAGCGTTCGGCTTTGGGTTTAAGAAAGCGTACGATATCGTGGGTCTAATCTGCGTCCGCGTGCTTGTTTGCAAAAGTCGTTTTGACGAACTAAGAGCCAGAACAACCTCTCGAAAAAGCAACCTCAACCCCGCCATGTATTTAAATTTAAAAAAAAATACAACGTACTAATGCAAGTAAGACTTCAGCCAATATGAAACAGCCCAGACCACACAACGCATAAGATGCCGATAATCTGAAACAGATTAATTCTAATAGCTGAGAAAAATGCACTTTACCATGGGCTCTTGTAGTTTTTCTGCACGGAATGTGTTATAGGGCAGAGTTTTATGAGAAAGGAGCCACATTCCCACTGCTCATACGTCCTACAAAAGACTCGTTGCAGACATGATGATAAATTATATCTGCGGACAAGCCTCGAGTATCTTCGAAGCATCTTTGCTTCATACATGCTTCCAAGATGTCTGCGGACAGTTTCCTTATGACCAATGTGACCGTCATACAAGGAAGAAACACGACTCAGTCAGTGTCGGCAGACTGTCTCTTGGATATTGTATTAGCAGTGCAGCCGCGGCTTCACGCTCGGCCGTTACACTCGAGCGACACCCACGTCCAGGTCATACGAGAGATATTTACTCAAGTTTCCTTAAAGGCCCTCAGTGAGGGCATTACATAAGAGGGGGGGGGGGGGTACATGACACGAGAGCATAATACAGTAACAACATATGCGAATACATGGGGTGCTGCAAAACGACGTGGTCATCGCCACGCCACGCTGTCACGTACCGTGACAGCGTGAAGTCGCGTGAATTCATGGCCTCACGCGAGTTTCCGATGCTGATGTGTCACGTGACGTCATGGCGTCACGCGACTATGTGACGTCAAGAGGTCATGCGACTATGACATCGTGAGGGCCCGTGACGTAACTTACGTGACTTCACAGACGCAGCATGCGCCCGACTCATTCGCAACATATTATTTGCGTCAGCGAGTTCTTCAGATATCACGGAGACATTCTTAAATCTTGGAGCCTTGCGTTCATTGATAAATGTTTGCGGTTCGCTTGACCGCTGCGGCTCTTCTAAAAAGTCGTGGCTCGTCTCCCCGGCTTCTTCGCTGTCTTTTCCAGCGACGTCAAGAGGCGAGTTTGCGAACTCGCAGAACGCACTCGGACCGTCGTCCGCAAGGTGATACCCTGCGACGTCATGAAGCCAGGAGTGCTTCCGGAGGAGCACCGCGAGTCCTTCGACGCCGTGCTGTGCTGCAATTGCCTGGAGGCGGCGGCGCAAGACCACGCGTCCTATCGTCGGCTGGTGTGCAACGTGGCGGGTCTAGTGAAGCCTGGCGGTCTGCTTATCCTGGCCGGAGTGGGAGGCTTGGCGATGTACCCCGTGGCAGACGAGGAGTTCCCTATGGCAGATGTGACCGAACAGGTCCTCAAGGAGGCACTTACGGATGCCGCCTTAAGAGTGGAAGTATATTGCACTAAAATGTACGACGGCGACGACGAGGAGGCGCGCCTAGAGAGATTCGGGTTTGTGATTGCTGCTCGTAAAGCTTAAGTAAAGTTGATGTGCCTGTATGGTCTTAGTTAAATACATACGTTTGTGTGTACCCTTTAGACTGGATTTGAAATAAATAGCTTTGTACGTTCTGATAAGATTATCAGCCGTGGTTCTTGTTTCGCTTGCAGCTATTTGAGATTGAATTTGAGAATTCACATGTCGGCGATTTCCGCAATAAAACAAATTACCCTTCTGTTTGGCTTAAAAACAATCCTAAGCCGGCAAACAGCGCCAGTTACGTCAATCTATCCACCGTTTGTCGGCTCCACAAACCAAGTTCGCCGACCCCCGCGTCGCAGGTTGCATCAGCAGTGCAACGCCACTGACACGTTTTGGTCCAGCAAGACGGCAAATTTTAATGTTAATTACGTCGAATGTCACTCTGACTACGAAGAAAATTATTCTTGGTCCCTGCCTCACGAAATCTTTTGTTGCCTGTAAATGTCACAATGATGATCGTCTACTGCGAATTTTAATAAAAATTGCACGGCACGACTAGACCGCAAGGAGGTCGAGCCTGACAGAGATGCAGTGAGACGTTACGCACTTTCACGTGACACCATCACCTCACAATTTGTAGTATCACGTGACTTGGCGTTACCTGATAGTACAAAATAACGTCAAGCGACTTTAAACCTGTCGAAGTATTTAGTAGAGCTCATCACTTTCGTTTTCGGAACAAACATTTTGTCAGTACGTAATTTTTGGAAGTTCATGGGCCACGTTCGAGGTCACATCCTTGACGAGGATAATGTAATGGTTTCTTTTGATATTTCTCCACCCATCAATAGTCGTTGACAAGTCAAGAACGAAGTGGAAGCTCCTCCCACCCCTTTTCACTTCAGCGGAGCGAACGGTGGAGAGGAGGTTGCTTCTCCTCCAGCGTTCGCACTACAAAAGTGGAAAGTTGTGGGAGGAGCATCCACTTCGTTCTTGACTTGTAACCGACTATAGCTGTGAGAGTAGCGAAAACGCGCTTACGAAATGATGACACTCTCCCTTCACCCACATTATTAGCAGTCAATGACTTTGTAATAAGAGGGGATCGGTGGCCGAGTGGTCTAGGGCACACCAGCTCGGACCACGTGGACCGAAAGTTCGCGCTGCAGAACCCAGGATCCTGGGCTCAATCCCTACCCATGCCCGTTTCGATCTGGATGAGCATCGTACCGGCGTGCGATCGTGTATCACTACTGCGTGGTGCGCGTTAAAGACCCCAGGCTAGCGGTTATTCTGCATTGGTTAAATTGCTCATCTACAGCTGGGAGACTCGTCGCCCGTTGAGGCAGACCAAGTGCTATGCTGTATAAACATACACACAACCCCATTTTTAAATTTGTAATACTAATACGGTTTTGTCTTAGCCAGTCTTATTTTACGTTCCGTGGACTAATCTATCGCCAGACTGAAGGTTGTCCAACGAATATTTCAGTATCTGACACTATGGCGTATCTTGTTATGGGGCATGTTGAGGGTACATGCTCTACAGACGAGTGCGCGCCCAGTGCAATTTCATATGCGTTAGATGAATGACACTTTCGTATTTTTAAACAAAGAACATGTTAACAGTTTTTTATGACTTTAAACAACGTTGAACCATCAATCTATGTCACACGTGAAGTAGAACATAGAGTTTCCAACTTCACCACCGTGGTCACGTAGTGTATGGACGCTGTTAGCAAAACGAGCTGCGAGGAGGTGACGAAAGCGTTGATCGCCTCCGGGCGTCTCCAATTTTCCTCTTGCTATCTTCCTTCCGAAGCGAAAACGTTACGGATGCGCATTTGCCACCGATCGCCGCAGGAGGTCTCCGCCATTCAATTGTAATGGCTCGCCATTGTTTCCGATGGAACCTCTGTTCAATATAGGCTGTCTATACTGCCTCAAAGAAGGTGGCACCCCCATCCCGAAGCAATGGCGGCGGCACGCGACGTGTCGGACGGCGGCCCCTATTGTATTCGTCCGACAGGCATGGAGTATACAGGAAGCGTTGCCGAGACACGCTCCCTTCACTGCCTACCTTGCGGTTTCTGCTTTACAGTATATAAATTCATGTATGATTACGAGGTATTTATTTGATGCTTTATTTCTAATCAACGTTATATTTTAGAGAATGTATATCATAACTATTTCGCTTGCAACTCAAAATTGTAAGTGATAACTTACTCTTCTGATTCTGACCATTAAGTAACAAAAATAAATTTAATTTTTGCAGTAAAAACACACTCGTCAAGTAAAAAAAATCATGTCCTTTAAACATGATGAGTGCTCCGTGTGACGAGTGTTCCGGCAGTGCGAGAAATCCTCGTACAAGGTGCCCTGTGACAAGTTGGCCTACCAGACGAGTTCACCGATCACCAGTTGGCCTGGGCTTGTGATGAGTCCTAGTATAGGGGTGACGGGACGTATTCGTTGCACCTATCTCAAAGATGAACACAAGCGGGACTTGGCGAAAGCCACACATGCCACAAGGGCAAACACTGAACTGCTTGACCATTGTTGTACACCGGGTGATAATTTTGACTTTGAGAATGCGTCTACCTTGGTGTGTGAACAAAACTGGGGACCATGAAGATACTTGAAGTCATGGTGCATCCGGAGTGATTCATCGGCTTGCAACTCCAACCGCGGTCCCCTTCCCGAACTGTACGCGGGCGTCCTTACATGGGTGTAGGACAATATGGTCCCGGATAATATGGTTCCGGACAAAATGGTCCCGAGCAATATGGGCATTGACAATATGGTCTCGACAATATGGCCCCGAGTGCAAACCTGGACAAAATGGTCCCAAGTCAATTTTTCGACCCGTTTACGCTCTGTATAACATTTCGCTGATATCTGCAGCGATTACTTTTAAGGTGAAAGTTAGAAATATGTCACTTGTCGATTCGTCATAGGGGGAATGAAAGAAATTTATCGTGCAAATACCGGATGTTTTGATGCAATGTAAGGAAATAATAGTGGAAATGAATGAGAACACTTTCGACAGAAATCTGTCTGGTTGGGTTTATGTTTTCCGGTGTGTGTTGTATGTGCCAAGAATACAGGAAAAGCCTTGATCGGAATTGTGGCTCAGTTTTAATCACTTGCGCGTTTGCGAAGTCGATCGGATGGTCCTGAACATCGCAGTGTTCCGCGACGGCGCTGCCCTCGTGGTCGAACTTGCGTACGTCGCTCTTATGCTGTGTGATGCGCTGAGAAAAGTTTTTCGCCTTGCCGATGTAAGAAGCGGGGCACTTTGCACATGGGATCTTGTAGACCACTCGCTGTGCTCTTTTTTTGGAAGGCGATCTTTGGGTCGCGGCATGAATCGTCCCAGTGTGGACACAGGCTTTTGGGACAATTGGATGCCTTATTTCCTTAGCACACGCGCTAGCGCTTCGGGGGTCCAGCTTACATAGGGGACGCTGATGCGTGCGATAGGCCGAGGCTGCGTGTGTTGTGATGTCTTTTTGTTTTGGCACGTGCGACCATTGCGACGGGCGATGCGCTGAACAAAGCGGTTGGTATAGCCATTGTTCTTCAGATCAGCAATGATGGTCTGCTTTTTTTTTTCTTCTGTCGGTCTCTGATAAGCGGGTAATCATTGCTCTAGATAGAAGTGTGGAGACCACTGACGCCTTGTAACTCTTTGAATGGCTCGAGTCGAACTGAAGGTAGCGCCCTGTGTGCTTTGGTTTCCACAGCGAACTTCAATTCTTCCCCCTGCTTTTTCACTAATGCATCTAGTAAAGGTAAGGTTTTATCCTTTTCGCATTCGACGGTGAATTGAATATTAGGCTCAATGAAATTGGTCCAAAAAACAACTAAAAGGAAGATGAAAAGTGCTGATATCCTCGCGATTTAGTCACCCCTGATGAAGAAACCAAGCAGGTTTTGAAACGTCGGGCAGAACCGGTTTTTTTTTAGTTTTGGGTTGGAGCTCTTCCGTCTAAACCTAATAATGGAAATAAACATGCTTTTGAACAGATGACAAGTTTTATTATGTTCCAACAAGAGGTCTACGATGTCAAAGCAGCACTTAGTGTGGGAACGTGTTAGTATAACCCATGCCCTTTAGAAAGTCATTCATGGTACGGCTCCGTTGGTTGCATTTCTCGATAGATCCTCTTCGTCCTCTTTTTTGGTGGATGTCCGGCGAACTCTTGCGTAAGAACTGTGGAATCAGAAGCCTGCTGAGATTGCAGGGAATCAATCGGTCTCCAAATAGAGGGATGACAGAGACCGCCCTTGCTGGAAAATATTATATTCTACGCCTCCGCAAAATTGTTCGTCTTGTGGTCTTTGGTCACTGTTGGGTCATGGATGTTCCGGATGCTTGGAGGAAATTTCGGTGCACATCTCTGGACCCTCACCGTTCCATTCCTTGTTATTATACGGTGGAACGTACCGTTGACACACGTGATTCCAAAGTAGTCGAAAAGGTCTTCTGCTTCAGGAGGTGTGATCGACCGCAAAAAGTCCATTTCACTTGCGACGTCATCCAAAGATAAGAATGCGAGTCCATTCATCATACCAAAGAACTGCCTAAATGCGTCGCTTTCCTTATAAAGAGGCACTAGCGAGATCTCTTGTATTTTGCGCCATGTGCTTTGGCGAAAATGAAAATAGCACCCCTGGGTGGTGATGCCCTCTCCAAAAACTGCACGCGTAGAATTCATGGCAGCTGTCTCAAAATCGGTGATCCCGAGATTCAGGTCAGGCGAAGCTCCGTTGGTTTCTGAAGCGGAAACAGCAGCGTTGAGAAGTTTCTTGTAGGATTCCTGCGTCTTGTTTTCTATGAAGGCGTACACCACTGGTACTGCGGCTTCTCCAAGAGGAACGTGTAGCACGTAGAGCTGCAGAAACAGCTTGGGTGCCATTGGGAAGTTTCCATTCATTAGGAGGGTGTCACTTTGGGAGAGCTGCCATAGGCATTCTGCTGTTGCGAAGGCGATAATCCTGGAGCGGGCTTCTGACCCATTGTCATAGGCGGGGATATCTCCGAATATAATCTC